CCGATTCCAATAACCAAATGGTCCCTCCATTAAACTTAGTTTGTCACCTTTGGCTTCCTTAGAGCGTTTCCTAGACTAATTTCTAGTTAAAATGCTTTCACTTTTCAATAAAAAAATTAACAAATTGTTCATGTAATTTCCAATCAGACTTTAGAAAAGTAAGAAAAGAGACAAAATTTGAGTAATTAGATAAAGAATTCTGCAAAATATGATCTGATTAAATCCAAACTCATGAATTTAGACCAGACTCATTAAACCTTAAAAAGTTCTTTAATCACAGGGGAGAAAAAGGGCAACATTACCCTGCCTTCATGTAGGGTCCGGGAAAGGCCGCACCCCTTGGGATGTGATATAGGCAGCCTATTCTGATGCAAGCATTATTGGTTGATTTCATGGCTAGAACCCGTGACCTACATAGGTCACACGGAAACAACTTTATTGTTGCTCCGACACTCCCTCCAATATCACCCCGCATTCACGTAGGGTCCGGGTAAGGGCCGCATACTTTGGGTGTGATATAGACAGTCTACCTGATACAGGCATTATTGGCCGATTTCACAGCTAGAACCCGATCTATATGTCACACAGGAGAGATAATTTTACTGTTGCTACAAGACCCCTCAACACGAAACAATAAGGTCAAAAAAAAATTAAAAAAAAAAGTACTCACAAAAACTCGCAGTCTGATATCTTTTCCATCGCTCTTTTAACACACTCAAGAGTAACTGGTTTTCCTTTATCATCTCTATAAGCTCCCTATGAACAAAAAGTGTAACAAAATAAAATAATCATCAATCAAGAAGGAGAAAAATGCCAATGAATAAAGTAAAAAAAAAAAAAAAAAAAAAAAAAAAAAAAAATAACCAAAGAAATAGAAAAAACATTACCACACCAAGATTGAGCTTTAAAGGACTTGGGTCAAAGAGGAAAGACTCGGTGACACTTGTGATTGGATCCTTAGGAGCTGGTTGTACATGGTCCCACCATTCCATATTGTTTTTGCCATTTGTTGCTACTGAGGTTGACATCCTTCTTTTACTGAATCTAATAACATGTCTGCTCCACATGTTGATCTGTCTTCTTACTCTGTTCTTTTCTTGAATTGAGACAGACACAGTGTGTAGGAAATTAAAGCCTCTATTGAGTTGGGATTGTAAAATCAGGGAAAGGGAATGTAGAACTTCAAGTTGGTGTTTCTTCAGAGGAAAAAAGTGAGTAGTTGAAATAATATGTTATGAGACGAAGACATTGAAAACTCTGGTTTGCTACTCAAGTTCCAATGGGCTGTATTCTCTGCTAGTTTCTTCCCTTTGTCAAAAAGGAAGACTTGCTCTTAACTTTTACTAATAAGTTAAACATATGCAGACTGCAGAGTACTAAGATTATATTACTTCCTTTCTAATTTATAAAAACTTATTTGACTGTACACATAATTAAAGAAGAAACTTATAATATCAAATATTTTATATTATAAAAAGTTTCGAATTAAGAATAGAATTGAAAGTTTAATCGAAATTGTTTTCGAATTAGAAAGAAGTAATTCTTTTTTGAACGGATTAGAAAGAAAATAAGTTCAAATAATTTAAAATACACAGAGTATATACTTTTAAGTAAATGGTGTTGAGAGTTTTAACTGTCTTTTTATTTAAATAAGTGATGGTGAGAGCTCCAATGAATCATGTTATTAAGAATATAAAAAATATATAAAAATTTATTATTTCAAAAAGTGTGTCATTCATTTAGACAGATTAAAAAGAGAATTAACATAATTTACGCAAAAGAATATTAAATAGCATCATTAGATAAAGTAGTCTGAGTACATAACATATTATTTTTGTAATATGTATTTCCTAATTTATCTGCATTTAAGGTATGTAAAACAAAGAAAAGAGGAATTGGGAAGAAAGGAAGACTTAGCTTTCAATCCCAAAGTCTCATGCTTTTTTACATTTGCATTTTACAACTTGCAATTTACTTTAAAATGGACCAAAATTCTATTCATTGCATTTTTAAAAATTATTACACGTTCAACATAATTTCAAATTTCAAATTAATTAGCTTTTTTAGACTACTAAACCATGTGTTCAATTGAATATTGCGTATTTATTTACCTGTGATTTCAAGGAATCTAATCGTCTAACTATTTTTGCTAAGCACATAAAAGTAAAATAATTTAGAAATACCCTCACTTGATGAAATAAAATATTTGGTAATAGTGACATAATGGAAAATTGAATTAAGGAATACGAAAAAACATTCAAATTTCTAGAAGCCAACCTCCTCATGTCGAAGGAATCCAAGAAAATCTTACGTTCAAATGTTAATAATACTACTCCATTTTTAAACCAGTGTGTTCCATGGTTTTACTCTTTAGTCGTGATGTTCCAGTGGGCTGTGTTATAGCTCGTGTTATAGCCTATTTTCCCTTTTGCTTGAAAGAACCAAGAAAGCAGTGTCAATAGTCAATACTTCAATCACACACATGCAGAGACGGATTCATAATTTAAATTTAATGAACTTAATTTTTAAGATTTTTAGTATTAAACTTATTGTATTGTTAATATTATGAGTTAAATCTAATATTTATTAAGATTTTAATAAGTTTTTACATATAAATTCATATTTCGTATCTAAAGTTATGGGTTCATTTGAAATTCAAGCCAAAAGATTACATGCCATTGCACATAGGCGAAATTGCTCATTGTTTGACAAGGTAATTTACATATTGTTACATACTTTATAACCTTTTGAATTGCATTTTGCACAACTTAAAAAGAACTAGTGTAGGATTAAATGATTGCAATTGCACTCTTTTATTAAAAGATATTTTTCGTGCATTCTTAGTTGCTTTTGGTAAAGTAACCAAAAATGTATCTTAGATCACTTTTAATTTAACTTATATCTATTATATAGAAAGAGCAAAGATGGTCTGACGGCTGGGCATCATTGCAAATCTAGCTTTATTTAAGGTCAAAATGGTAATTACGTCACAACAATTAAAATGGAATTATAAGGACCCTTTTTCTTTCTCATCTCTGACAAAAAAAAAAGAGCACCAGCGGCTCTTTTCTTCATCTTCTCGTCCAGGTAAGCTTTCCTTTTAAATTTTGCTGAAATTTCTCTTTGTTGTATTCGACATTTTCAATTTTTGGTCTACCCATATTATATTTGTGTTGATTTTGCCCGTTTTTTTTGTAGAACTCTAGTCTTTTTTGCTTTATTGTTGTTTCTTTAACATAGTCTTTTTGCTTTTCTAATTTTATTAGGTCGTCCTCTCTGTATTTCCAACCGCAGCTTCTTGTTTCTCTCCCTCTCCCTCTCATGTAATTCTTGAGGCTAGCATATACATTCTTTTTATTTTTTGTGTTGCTTTCAAATATGTGAAGAAGATTTTCGTTTTCTCATAAATAAGAATTCTGTAATTGAACTATGATCAGAATTTTAAAGAAGTGTAGCTACACTGCAACAACAATTAATTTTTCTTTTCATATTACTATATATAATTTGCTATTAACTGGTATGATAGTTTTTTTTGGTCCGGCACTAGAGAAAATATGCTTCTGCTCTCTCTTTAATTTTGTTTATAGGAGATTGTCTTTACTAAAAACTTAATCTTGATATAATACTCCAATCAGAAGTTGTAGTATATTAGCATAATGAAAAATAGCAGAAAGTGACAGCACTCTGAAAACCGAACAAACCTAAAAGTACTGACTTAAAGCCAATGCGGAACTAATAGTTAAATTTACGAGTTACTTTAAGAATTGGGGGGTTTGTAAAACTTTGAGTTCAATCCATCCTATGCAAAAAAAAAAAAAGTTTGAATTGAAATTCCGTCTATATACTTTGAAAAATAATCTTGATGGTTTAGAACTTCCTTCTAAATCAAGGAAATAAAGTCATATCCAACGGACTGTGCACAAACTAAAGGACTAAGCGGCTAAGAACTTCAAGGTTTGAGGATTCCATGTTGAACTGCTCTAATGGGTCTTCAATTTGTATGCATTTTTCAAAATGGGGTATAAATGTAGCTATATTGAAGTTAATCATTTGTCAACAATGAGTATTGTTGCTATAACTACAAAAATTTCATTTTCTTATCATATATTTGGTTCTAGAAGCAACAAGCAAGCGTTAGCATTCCTTTGTACACCTATCTTCTTTCTC